AGGTACCCAAATAGCTCCTACGCATCAATGCAACTACAAAAATTAAAAATAAACCGAAAACAAAATAGAATAAAATTAAATTGAATTAAATTTTTAAAAAGAAGTGCCAGTAAATGCTGCTCACATCCCATCAAGATTCACTTTCCTACAAGGCTCTGTGATAGTCAAATGTAGACGTGGAGCTCAGCACTTGCGTTTGTTGTTGTTCTGAGGGCATGGGTAACAAAGAAACTGCATTTTCAGTGGACGCGTTTCAGTCAGCTGATTCAGCAAAAGAGTCAATTTAAATAGAGTTTACATTTAGATTAGCGAGTAGTGTGCACCAACAGGAACAGATCTATAAAGCAAAACAGCTGGTACTGAGAAACCAGTGTCCATACTACATGTGTCTCAAGGGGGTTTCTTATCATGTGCTCTGACATGGTCTGCTGATCTAAAAGTCCATTAGTGGCTGAAGCACAGTAGGTATCCTCCTAAAGACTATTTGAGTTTAGTTTCATCTGAAACAAGTCAGGTCTGAGATCATCCAGTGGTGATGATCTGAGCACACTCTTGAATTGAACTAAACGACATAGCTCCACCTTAAGATAGCACCAGAAGATCACCACACCTCGGGTTTCAGTGAATCTTTGTGGAAGAAACATCAGCTGCAGAACTGCTATCATACTAAGCATCAGAAAGTCCACACATGGGGGATGTGTTCTTTTATTGGTAGAAATATAGATGATACAAGGGGAAAAAACAGAATGGAGTTTCTCCTGCAGTTAGGACAGTCAAAACTATCTGTCATTCATTCTTATACAACTAATGAAGAAATAGAACCATAGAACAGTTTGGGTTGGAAGGGACCTCAAAGATCATCTAGTTCCAATTCCCCTGCCATGGGCAGGGAAACCCTCCACTACACCAGGTTGCTCAAAGCCTCATCCAACCTGGCCTTGAACACTTCCAGGATGGGACAGCCACAAATTCTCTGGACAATCTGTTCCAGTGCCTCACCACCCTCAATGTTAAAAATTTCTTCCTTATATATAATCGAAATCTCCCCTTTCAGTTTAAAGCCATTACCCCTTGTCTTATCACTACATACCCTTGCAAAAAGTCCCTCTCCAGCTTTCTTAATAATGTACTATGAGAATACTCCTTCACTAGAATTGTTATTAGGATCACTCACCTGTAGTGACCTGTAAAACTTCCTGAAATTTATCATTTGAGACTTATCTGTGTAGCTTGGATGACATAATCAAAAATGCCAAAAAAGGACAAAGACACACAAACTGTCAAAGGGAAACTGTCAAAGTCTGTTTAGAAAAATACAAACAGGACAGTATAGCCTGCAAAGCAATTTCTCATGCTGTGCGTTTTTGCTGTAACAGCCTTATAATTGATGGGGTATAATCTTTCACCCAAAAGGGCAGGTATGAAATCAAGTCCTTGACACATGGATTACTTCTGATTCCTTGTTTAACAATTATCAAATATAAAGGCCAAATAATTCTGAGGGTGAGAAGCAGAAACCTGTGAACAGAGCAACCTAATCTTCAGGTAACAGTCATGGTCCTTTCTGTCTTGTTCTTCCCGCTGGTGCCCCTTGCATTTGGCAGTGTAATGGTCCAGCATCCAGAGAAAGGGAAAGCAACAACTGTACGTTAACTGAACTCACGGATCGCTCGCTACACGAAGGCATCCTGTTCGCATATGGATCTGGCTAAGAGACCTGAATGCAAGTCTCCCTCTTCCTGAAGGAATGCTTGTACCACCAGACCCTGCCTTTGCAGATACATTTTAAGGAAAATAAAGGTGCAGTTTGCTGTTGCCAGTGAAGGCAGTTAAAGAACTTCCAGCATCAGCATCTTCCTGACTCTCCCTCCCTCTCTGCCCAAGGATCACAGCATTCTCAGCTGTATGGATTCAGCTGTTTGCGTGGGCACACTTCAAACTCTTTCAGTGAAATACTCTACTGTAAATGCAAAACCACCCTCTGTCGGGGTTTCTCCTTTTTTTTAGGGAGGCTGAGGGAAAGGCTAGAAGGGAAGAGCAGGAGTCTGACTTTTTCCACCAGACTATTCCACAAAGCTATTTGTTCACCCATATTCTGAAACAGATGAGGGAATAAAAATCTTTGAGGGTGGGAGGGATGTAGAGATGAAATGGGGGTGGTGGGGAGGAATGAAGCAAGCAGCTGGGGCTGGAGCCTCAAACTGGCTCTGCTTCTGTAGGATTCGTAACGGGGAACTACACATGAAGCCCACATTTACTTCAGCATCTTTAATCAGGACAGGACTCCAGACACACACTCGCTAAAAGTCTGAAACACCCAAAACGCAGCCTCAATTCTCATCATTCGCAGCTTCCAGTGCCCTGTTCATTAGTTTTAAGCGTCTCTACACACAGCTTGTGGGCCTCAGCCTGCACTTTTGGAGAAGCCCACCTACCTGCACTGGCCCAGGCAGGTGCCCAGCCCCCGAGATCTGAATCACTGTGCTGTACCCAGGCACCTACTTTTGGCGTATAAGAATTCTGACGCTAGAGATGTCCGAAAAAGACAGTCCCCTAAACTTGCCTACCATCATCATAAATGTATCCTCTCACCCGCTTCATTTCATTTTGCTTGCATCCCACTAAGGAAGATGAGAATAGGGACCACAGCAAGAGGAGTCTAAGGAAATGCTGTATCTGCTGTCACATTTTCCCACTTCCCATCGGTTCTGTCGGAGCCCCTCTGAGAGTCACTGTTTTTTGGGAAAGGTGCCACCCTGTGCAGCATTTCTCCTTCTGGTGGGAACAGCTTTGGGTGGATTAGGGAGATGCTGCTTGGCAAAGCACATATTTTTGATTAAATATTTCTAAAGAACATTCCCACCGCTTAGCAGAACTTGTTTATGTCTCACCATTTCAGCCCGAGTTCAACCTATGCTCTTTTTAAGAGGATTTTGTTTGAATGAGATATGTAAGTCAGGAGTCTTGAGCTCCATTCCCTTTTCAGCTCCGACTTTGATGTGTGCCTTTGGGCAACACATTTACCCTCTCTGTGTCAGCCTCCCCCATCTGCAAATTAGAGATTTTCATAATTATCTTAATAATCCGTTAAGCACATTGAGATTTCTGAATAAGCAGTACAATGCATAAAGGTTAACATTGTTTTCAAAAGCCAAAGTAACCCTCCTTGTGTCACTTTTGCAAAAATACTGCATCTGATGTTTGAAAAATGTATCTGCCAAGTAGAAGTTACTGCAGTAAATGTTCAGCACATGTTTGCTTCTACTGACGCAAACTATTAGAAAAATTGCTTGAGACAAATTGAGATATTATAGAACAACCCTATTATGAAGCTAGACCACAAAAAAGATTTTTTTAATTTAAACTAGATCATCAATAGAATAGGGAAGAGACAGATGAGAGAATGGGAAAGTTGGTTGTAATTATTTCTCTGAAGATCTGGAACATTATCTGACAGGATTTTAATTCTTGAGTCTCTATCAAAAGACTGGCAGTACTCCAAGGTCTTCAAGACGTTTTGGTCCTTAAGGGTAGCAGGAGGATAACAGTTTGAGTAAAAGGCCTTTACTTGCTATTACTTGCTAACCTTGCGCTATTCTGCCTTCAACTTCTTT